ATCATTGTAGCTGTGGTGGCTGTTGTGAGGAAGAGGAGGAGAAACACAGGTAGGAAAGGGCAGGGTCTGAGTTCTCTCTCAGTCCCTTTTAAAAGAGTCTCTGCCTCATTAATGGGAAACACATCCACACCCCTCATTGCTGCTGTCTCTAAGCTGGGTCTGCTGTCAGTTCTGGAAACTTCCTAGGGCCAGGGACTTCCCTGGTCTCTCACAGCTTTTCTTCTCACAGGTGGAAAAGAAGTCAACTATGCTCCGGCTCCAGGTAAGAGTGGTGAGCAGGATTGTCCCTGAGGCCTGTGGGGTTAAGCTGGCGTATTTGGGGAGCTCTGGAAATACATAATAGCTCCTGCAGTAAATCTTCTAGTGGCCAAGTTTTTACCTTCCCATGAATACATATATTTTTACCCCAGGCAGGGAGAGTTGCCAGAGCTCCGATGTGTCTCTCCCAGACTGTAAAGGTGACCCTCTGCGACCTGAGGGGCAGAGTGAACATGATTGGGTTTCAGGGACTCCCAGAATCACCTTTGAGTGAGTGGTGGGTTGCTGGGATGTTGTCTTCACAGTGATTGTTCATGACTCTTATTCTGTAGCGTGAAGACAGCTGCCTGGTGTGGATGGAGTGACAGACGATGTGTTCAGGTCTCTCCTGTGACATCCAGAGCCCCTCAGTTCACTCTCAGCAATAGTGTCTGATGTTCCCTGTGATCCCGTGGGCTCAATGTGAAGAACTGGGAGCCCAGCCCACCCCTGCACACCTGACCCTGTCCCTGCACTGCCCTGTTCCCTTCCACAGCCAACCTTCCTGTTCCTGCAGACAGGAGGGGACATCTCCATCCTGTCTCCTCCATGCTGCCCTGAGCTGCAGCCCTGACTTCCCCTCTGAAAATAAGAATCTGAACGTGAACTTGATTGTTCATGTCCTTGATCTCAAAGGTTGATTGGTGGTAAAATAAAGGATTGAGATAGAATTTATGGAGGAAATAAATGGCAGCGTGGAGAACCTCCCAGAATCTGTGTTCACTGTGCTGTGTGCATCTGGTGGGACAGGATGAGGCTGTGGGAACTGAGTGAGAACAGGGCTGTGCCCAGGTGGAGCTCCGTATGTAATTGGCTGTGGCTCTCTGTCCCCTCCCAGCTCTGTTGTCTTCATCACTTAGAGCCAAAGGCTGACATCTATGATCACAGGGACACTGGGATGGCCAGAGCCTTGTCCTGTCCCCAGGATTATGAGCCGCCAGGGCTGCTGTGACAGTCAGGGCTGTTGTCCTGGCTGTGACACTTTCCCCTGTCTTTAGTGTTGA